CGGCGTGCCCCGAGCCTGCGCCTGGGGCCTGGGCTTGGCCCAGTCCAGAGCGGGGCGGGCGGACGTGTCCCAGGCCGGCTGCCCGCCTGGGAGGAAAGCTGCCCTGGGGGCTCTGCCATGCCAGGACGTCCCCAGGGTGGCAGCTTTGCCGCTGGGTCTCCCCGTGCCCGTGACCGGTGGCGGCTTTAGCGGGCTCCGCTCTTGTCGTGTGCTTCTTTCCTGCCGCAGGAGACCCTGGCGAACCTGGAGCGGCAGATCTACGCCTTCGAAGGCAGCTACCTGGAGGACACCCAGATGTATGGGAACATCATCCGTGGCTGGGACCGCTACCTGACCAACCAGAAGTGAGTGTGCAGGGCCCGTGCCACGCGCTCGTCCCGCTGCGCTGCGCTGCGCCCCGTGCCGCCTTCCCGGCAGTCCTGGGCTCTTCGCAGTATCCTGCAATGCAGTTCTTCAAAGATCGGGATAGTCGGGCTGGTTCCTCGGATAGGTCAAGCCCGTCAGAGGTCCCGCACCTGCTCTGGGGTGCGGTGTGCGTGGACCAGCTGAAATGGCAGTCACCCCTCAAGCGCCGAGCACCGTGCTCCCCTCCAGACCCCAATAGTGGTAGGAAGGTGTGAAAGGGGCGTCTGGCAGCCAGGATCTCGGCATGGTCTTCCTTGCACACAGCGAGCGCATCCCTTAGGATGGCAGCCAGGTCCGGGAGGGAGCCCTGCTTTGTCCCGAGGCTCCAGGTTGTGGCTTCAGCCAGCCGCAGGGGAAGCTATGCCAGGGACGTCCCTCAAGGTGTCTGGGCCGGCGCAGTGAGAGCGCGCTCTGTATTTCAGGAACTCCAACAGCAAGAACGACCGACGCAACCGGAAGTTCAAGGAAGCCGAGCGGCTCTTCAGCAAGTCTTCAGTCACCTCAGCAGCTGTGAGTACTGCATGCGTGACAGGGTGGTGCGCAGCGCCAGCCTCAGCCCTGAGCTTGCCCCGCCAACGCCACAAGGCAGCTGCAGCCCGGGCTGGAAGCCAGGCGGTCTGAGGCCTGGGGCAGGGCAGGGCAGGACGTACCCGTGGCTGCGCATGGTCCCCTCTGTCACATCTCGCTCTTCTCCTTTCTTCCAGGTGGCTCTGAACCGCTCTTCATAGTTTCCTTTGGTTGTTCCCTTAGCAGCCTATTTCCTCAGCTTTACTCGGGACTGACTGAGGGCAGAGCTGGGGTGACTGTTCCTCCCCCTGCCCTTACAGCACTTCTAGCTTGATGCTTGGCAAGTCCTGACACAGTCAGTGCCCTCCTGCTGTTTGTAGCGAGGGCAGCACAGTGGTGTCCATCCCTGTCCCCCCTCTCACAAGCATCTCCGAGTTTCCTTTGGTGCAGTCTCCCCTGCACGCTTGCACCTGCCACGGCGCCCAGGAGAAGTGAAGGGGGAGAGAGCAGAACAAGCAGGAAACATTTGTGCCTTGCAAGGCTGTCCTTCCCGCTCTCCTCCTGTGCCAGTCTCTCTCTGGCCCTGCTGTATTGCCGTTCAGCTGCCAATTCCTGGAGGCAGAGATCATCTCTCTCTTTCCGTCTGGAAAGCGCCTTGCACGATTTTCAGTAAAACGTGATAAATGGGAATCTGTCTCCATAAGTGTCCCCTCTGGTTTTGTAGGCCGTCAGCGCACTGGCCGGAGTTCAAGACCAGCTCATTGAGAAGCGTAAGTAGCTGCCTGTTACCCGTCTCTGTGTGACTGATGTGGAAAGAAGGCAACCGTTTGCTTTGGAAAGAGGGCACTTCCCTGCGTGTCTTCTCCTCCCTGCAGTGCTTGCATGTGGGGGTGCTTGCTGCTTCTGATGCTTGCGGTTGATTCCCTGCCTCTAGCCCTCCTTGCATGGGGGGGGGGGCCCATACCCCAGCAGTTCCACCGCTCCCAATTCTGTCGCCATTAGTAATGTGTGCAGTGAAATTACAGCGCGTTTCCCTTCCAAAAAAGCAAGGTTAGTTTTGTGTCCATCTTAAAGCTTTCTGTGCACGAGACGTGTGTTAATGTGTGGCTTTGGTGACTGGGGGAGGTAAGAGTCCAGGGTCAGGTTTTGCTCGACTTCCTGGTCAGTAGTTGCCACTAGAGCCACGTGCTTGAAGTGCAGACCCTGGAGCCGGTGTGAGGTTTGTGGGACTTCTTCACACCTTCCCTCCTGTGTTTGCCTGGTCCTCCCCTGCCTGTGTGACCTAAAGGTTGAGTTATTTTTATTTTTTTTTTCTGCGTTCACTCGCTTCAAGTTCATTCCTGGCTGATCAGAGGGGTTGGGGGGGCAGCGTTCCAGCCATAGCACTGACTTCTTGCCTGGTCTAATTCTAATAGTTTTCTTTCTGTGGTGCTTAGGGCATTTTGCTGCCCCTGCTATAGGATGTGGCATGCAGTAAATACATTCTGGGGTTGTTCCTGCTTCCGGAGTTTGCCTGGGATTGCCTGCATCATGCCTCTTGCAGGGGGTAACTTGTCCTGCTCCAGGAATGCGCTGCGCACTAGAGAACTTCCACAGCCTCCTGAGGCTGCCACGTGCCCTGTGCTGTTGGGGTTTGCTCCTGTTCCTTGGGACATGGCTTGGGCACTTGAGGTCTGTCTTGGAGCTGAAGAGCTGGGAATTAACAGCCATGCTCTCCTGGGTTTGTTGTGTTTTAGGGGAGCCGGGCAGTGGAACGGAAAGCGACACTTCTCCAGACTTCCACAATCAGGAGAATGAGCCCAGCCAGGAGGACGCTGATGATCTGGATGGGTCTGTGCAGGGTGTGAAGCCCCAGAAAGCTGCTTCCTCCACTTCCTCGGGGAGTCACCACAGCAGCCACAAAAAACGGAAGAACAAAAACCGACACAGGTTAGTGGTGCCAGCAGCCCTTGGCAGGCCCTCCGAGCTGTGGGGGTTGGTTGTCGAACAGGCTTTGTCCCATGGAAGTAGCCATGTGTGTTAGAGCAGCGGGAGGGACGGGCTGCTGGTTGATCGGGGTGACAGGCTGATATCACTTTCCTGCCAGTTTCCAAGGCAGTAGGAAGAAACTGTTAGGTGCCTTCGGTGGGCCTGAGGAGGCCTGTTGGGGTTCCTCGGGGCTGGGGCCAAGAGGGAGAGGCCCTTGGAAGCAGGTAAACTGAGCAAGGGAGTGACAGGAAGGCGTCCCTGATTTCAACCCCAGCTCTGTTAGGACAGTCTGAGTGATCCTGGGAGCAGTTCGCCCCCTTTCCTCTGCCTCTCCGAGTTCTCCAGCCATAGGGCAGAATACATCTGGCCTCTGCCCTAGGGGAAGGTTATGTTTTTGGCTCCCACGAGGCCTGCCTGGGGTTGAGTGAGGCAGGGCTGCTGGCTGGCGTCTGGGGAATAAGGGCCAAGTGATAAAGCAAAATGTCTGGGCAGGCCACGAATTCTGAAGCTCCTGGAAATCCCCAGTGCCTTCATCCAAACTTTATTCCAGACCCTTCCTTGCATTGTTTATCCCAGACCAAGCCAAAGGAAGTAGATTTGTCTGTTTACCCTGAGGAGCTCACTGCACAAAATAGTTTTCGAGCCAAGGGCTTGGTGCAGTTCAAAGGGGATTGGTACTTTAGAGGGGCAGTAAGAGGGTCATTACAGACTGCATAAAGCCTCAGACCAAGGTCATAGACCAGCCTCCAGTGATGATGCTTAGGAATAAACTACTCCTCTGCTCATCTTTCTCTGAAACCAGTGAAACAGGGTCCAGGACTGCACAACCCCTGGTCTGGTACTTCTTGTGTCCCTCAAAGAGAAAGCAGCCAGGTGGTCTCTTTCGGGTAGTTACCAGCTGTCCCATACTGCATTCTCACAGCCAGGCCGGGAATGTCTGACCAAGTTCAGTGAAGTTAACTGTAATGACGGCTGTTACTGACTCCTGAGGTCTTTCCAGCAGAGGAAAATGTCCCAGTCCCCTCAAATCCATGGGCTAGCCCCAGGTTCTGACAAGGAAGGTTCTGACAGGAGAGCCCTTCTGGCCCACCCCTCACCCCCAGATGTGCTCGGGTGAAACCCCTAGCCGATAGGAGGGATGGGGTGTCTGTGGTGTGGGGCTGCCCCTGTTTCAGGGACTCTTCTTGCCAGTTGCCTCAAAGGAGCTCTGCTGCCTCTGCTGGGAGCAGCGGAGGCCTCTGGCAACTGGCTGTCTTTGGGCGTGATGAACACGGCTTGTCACAAGGACCAGCCCCTTTGCAGGCCATGCTGACTGCTGGCTCCAAAAGCAGCTGAAACCCAACGTGAGTCTCCAGCTGGCATCTGAACACTGGGAACCAGGTGAAACACGGGGATGTTGCTGTCGGGGGCCCTCACTTCCAGTGCTGTGCAAGTCCTGAGATTAAAGTGTCCTGTGACAGTGCCCGCGCTAGGGTGTAATTCTGGAGAAATGTCCTGTTGACGCCCCTCTTTTTAACCAAGACAATTGTTGGCTTCCAGGAAGAGCACTAGAGAGTGAGCGCTGTGGTGTGTGTGGATGCTTGAGACGGCTGGTGGGTGTGCAAGGTTTCTGTAACTAGATTCAAGCAGTTCACCTTGTTTTCTGTCCAAGTTTGTAAGGGGGCTGCGTGGGGGTGTGTGTCGAGAGCAGTTGAATGCAAAGTGGGCCAGATATTCCTATGACCGCCTCTGTCTTTCTGCCTGAACAAACTTCTTTGCTTTGGCGCTAATAATCTGAAGAGAGCCTCTGCTTTCTGAGCTCCCACTTGGTTGCTTTTGCAAGCAAAGAGAGCTCTGTCTCTGCGGGCTAGCATGCAGCTCCAAGTACCCCATAGCTTCCTTTCTCCACATACACAAATTCCTTCTGCAAAACCACTACTCCACTCTTTAATGCCTCTTTACCCAGAAAGCCACTGGGGGAGGGGGGCTCTGGACTCCTGAGTCTGGAGTGCTTTTTATGCCACATTTTGGTTAAAAAAATAAATATATATCTATATATATCATGACATTTGGACACTGGCTTTATTATTTCAGTAATCTCACTAAGGTGGCTAATCAACTAATTTATTTAATTCATTAGTATATTAATTTCTATTGCTTTCTTCCTTTCAAATGCTGCCCCTCAGCCCGTCTGGCATGTTTGATTATGACTTTGAGTAAGTTTGACTTGAATTAGTACTTGTGCTGTGTTGTTAGTGTGTAGACACCAATGTGCCTTTTGAGACCTTTCTAACCCGTAGTTTATCTGTTTAATTGTAGGTATGTATATTAGGTTAGGCTGGGAAGTTTTTTTTAAAAACAGAAAAACGTGACGGAGGTAACATTTTTATTTAATAACTTAAGTAAAATTAAATCAACTTCACTCTTCTGCCTCTCTTACTTTTATTTTTAAATAGATAAACTTTGTCTTAAAACATAGTTAAAACCTGATTTCCTGGCTTTGCTTCCTAAAGAGATTAGTGTAGATTTGGATATTGTCTTCTGGTTGAATGTAATAAACCCCCAGTACCCATGAGTTTTGTAACCCCTGTTGTCTCAAAGTTCTCTCTTTCTCTGTATTCCAAGTAAATTGCCGTTACCGCAATGGCTGAATAATTACTCATGGCATAGTTACACCTCTAACAAATTAACATAGAGCATGCATTTTTAATCCTATATCTGTATGCTGCATAACTTCTCTGTGATTGTTTTTATCTGAACCTTTGCTAACTCTCTCTGACCGAGTGGGTGGAATATGCCTTTTGGCAAGGAGAGAAGAATCCACTCTTGTTTGTCTCTGCTCCTTGCCCAGTAACACTGGGACACTGATTCAGCTCAGCTGAATCGGAGACTGACCGAATTAACCAAATAGTCTTTGTTGTAGCCTGTGCCGTATGCGGTAGCTGGTTCTTGGAGCCCCCCTTGTGGTGTAGTGTATTGAAATGGGCATTTCTCTTATCTTTCTCATCGCAGGATTGATCTCAAGTTAAACAAAAAGCCAAGAGCCGTAAGTATCCGTCCTCCCTGTCTTCATTTGTATTGTTGATCTGTACACACTGGTGACCCTCTGCTTCCGCCGTGGTTCAAATCTCTCTTTGTCATGGCAGGGGGATAGCTTAGTGCCAAGGCAGCAGGTGCCTTGTGGATTTGTCGCAGTGGGCTCATCCATTGCTGGTTCGGTATTGCTACAGTGTAAAGGCCCCTTCGTTTTGCTTGAGAAGAACTGCACTTGCGCCCTTCCTCCCGGTGCTGTGAAGACCTGCTGGGGTCTGGCAACCGGTCCTTGGCGGAGGTGCAGAGGAAGGGGCCTGGTCTTGGACATGTGCCGCTACTGTAGCGTGCTCTGCCTGCAGAGAATGGGGTGGGGGTGAGAGCAGACGTCTGAGGGAGTGTCCCAGGCCAGCGAGCAGGTTGGGTGCATGGAGGGCCTTAACACTGGTACTCTCCACTCTCTGCAGGACTACTAGACTCATCAGCACTGAAGCTTCCACGATGTGGGCCCCACGTGAGTCCCCACCGAGGAAAATGCCAATCTAGCGCAGGAGTGGGCTGCCAGCTCTGCAGCTGCATGTCTGCAGCCGGAAGCAGCCAATTCTGTCGTGCTGCTGCGGGGGAGACCGTCTTGGCCGATGTACTTTGTACTTTGTGTCATTGTGAGTCCCCTGGGACACAGGACTGGGCTGCGGCATGGGCGATCTTCGAGTCCTGAGGGCTTGCGCTGTCACCCGGCTGAAGGCACCCTCCAGCCGGCTGACCCCGCCGCCACCATCGCCATCATCTGTCATCACTGCCGAGAGACATCACCGTCGCTCCCATTCCCAGGGGCTGGGCCTGTTTGTCCGCGCGGGTTGTAAATCTGTTACATGGATTTTTTTTTTTTAATACGGCTCGTTAGTGTTTTGTTCTTGTTCGGGATTGTTTTAACCAAAGTGACAAACCGGCTCTTCATCTCTTTCCTTTCCTACAAGCCCAGCCAGGCAGGCATGCTCTTTGTTTTGGGGACCGCTCCACTACAGTTCTTACCTGGCGTGGAGCAGCAAGTGGCTCCCCCTTTCCTCTCTCTCCTCCCTTCCCCAGGGCCCTGCGGGCTCTGAACGATGGGAAGGCTGGAGCTCAAAGCCCTCTTGCTCTGGGTGATGTGTGGGGGGCAAGGGGTGGAGTCTCTTTTTAATGCAACCTTCTGTCATTTGTATATAAAACAATAAAAGTCCCACGTTTGCGTCTCCTGGTTTGCTTTGAAGTTCAGCAGCTTGGTGTTGTGCTCCGTTCATTCCAAGCCCCCCAGGAACCTGGCCTCTCCTCCCTCTTGGGGGTCTTCGCTGGGCCTCGCTTCCTTTCTCCCCTTGCAGGGGCCGCGGACATGTGCCGACGCTGCCCTCGGGGCTGCTTGCTGGAATTCCCCTGGGAGGGAGTGGGTGAGTTGCCATGAAGGGTGCCTGCGCAGGTGAACATGGCTCCAGGGTACTGCCACCCTTAGCTTCAGGATGCTGCAGCCCTGTCGTACCAGCACTCAGAGCCCCGCTTCCAAAACCCTGCTTGGCTCTTCCCTGCTGGGCAGCTCCTCCAGGGCAAGGTGACCTCGGAGGGAAGTTCCTGGCCCCAGAGCCCCTCCTTGCTGTGTGCCAGAGGCTGCAGGGCCCCTGTTTTAATAGCTATTGCTTGCGGTGGTGCCTAGCTTGAGCTGGATGCTTTCCTAGCCAAGCAAAGCAGTGGGCCCACTTCTGGGACCTGCAGCAGGGCGCTTTGCGGTGGCTGGCCCCACAGGGAGGAGACTTGGCCGGCACTGTCTGCACAGCTGTGTGCGGCCAAAGGCTGGTGCTGACCACAGAGATGCTGCTGTGGAGTAAATACCTGGTGCTGCAGGTAGGCCCTGGGCAAGGCAGCATCGCTGTGAGGTGAGGGACCCTGTGCAGGTGGGCCCAGAGCACACCTGCCTTGCACCCTGGATGCCCAAGCATGGGGAAGCCTGCAGTGAGGCTGGGCTGGGGCTGGCAGGGACCAGGGAGGTCCCCAGAGGCACCAGCAGGGGGCAGGCCCCTAGCATGTGTGTGCAAGGAGCTGCAGCTGCAAGGCTGCCTGGGTGGAGGCAGCAGTGGCCCAGGTGCTTCCCGTCGCCCCACCAAGGCCCGGGACCTACTGGTCAACCTCCTCCCGGTGCTGGCCAAGCTTGTCACCTGGTGGTCCAGGCAGGAGGCTCTGGCCGGGAAGGCTCCTGGTGTCCTTGGGGCGTTTTTCCTCGGTGTCCTTTGCACGTGTCTCCGGGCGGAGCACCCCTGGGCAGTAGCTGCTAGCGAGCTCCCTCAGTTTGCGAGCTGGTGGGCGCTGTCCGGGGTGCTCTGCTCGGTGTCCCTCAGGGGAGCACTCGTTTTGACCCTATGACCTGCACGCGCACACCCTGTTTTCTCTTTTGTTGTCCCCTGTAATTTATTGGTGTTTTTAAGGCACTGGTCACCCTACCCAGTGGCGACCCCCTGATGGTTTTAGGCTTTTAGCTTTTTAAGCTTTTAGCTTTTAGCCTTTTAGAAAACCGCCAGGAAGACATTGAGCGCTGGATGCCAATGAGCTACCGTTATCCAGACTGTTTTTAGTTGATGTCTTCTGGTGCTGGTCGTCCTTGGCCGCAGCAGCACGCCGACCGACGATGACAACCCCTGGGCTGCAACCCTTCGGGGCGGTTTTAACAGGCGACCCGTAGAGACTGGCGGTCTACACCGCGACAGCATGAGGACATCAAATAGTCCGGGGCAGGGCCAGCAGGTCTCCAGGCTCCAGGGACGAGCTGCAGGGGGAGGGGGGCTGGGGGTGACTCCCTCCCCACCCGCCGGACTGATGGTGACACTGAGCATGGACAGGGAGGTTTCTGCCCCAGGGCTGCTTCCTGACCTCTTGTCCTCCGACTCTTGGTTGCAGGGGCCCAGCGCTCTGCAGGGCGGCCAGCCCAGCCCATGCGGCTGAGGTGGGCTGTGGAGCAGGGGTGGCAGCAGTCACCCTGCAGCCGAGGGAGCGGTGGCTGTGGTCTCTGCAGCAGCCCCCACCACATTGTGCCCTGAGAGTCTGGTGCTGGTAGGGTAGGGGCGGCTGAGTCCAGCCTAGTGCCGAGATCAGGGGCGAGCGTTCTTGCCTCGCAGGCCCGACCCCACCTGCGCCCCGGGTGCATCACCTACCTTTGGCCCTTGTGGGACTCTGCGGCTGCCTGCGGGCTGGGCTGGCTACATCTTGGCTTGCTGCAATGGCTAACCCTGCACCAGGGCCTGCTCTAGTCACATCCCTTCCCCATGGTGCCTGTGTCCTGCTGCTGTTACCTGCCTGTAAAGAGCAGGGTAGAGTTGCACCTTATAGACTAACTTAACTGTGTGCCTCGGGACCTAGCACAAGCTTCGTGAGCTGCAGCTCCCTTTGTTGTGTGCTGTTAGAGGACGTGCGGAAAGCAGCGTTGGGGGGGAGGTCCCTGCTACACATCACATACATTACACAAGTAACTGCTGGATCACAATACATGTAGACTGCCGCGCTGCAGAGTAACGATCACAGGCTAAAAAAGACTGTCCTGCGACAAGAAGAGCCATCCAGCTGTATAGTTAGTGCTTGACAGTGAGTAACAACTCCACAGCTGGTTTCTAGCCAGCTTGGTGCAGCAGGCCCCTTAGGTCCTGGCTTATCTGGCCCCCTAGCATTGGCTGTTAGCCTTTAACTGGGAAATCCCCATCCCGCCTGCCCTTCGCTCCACTGCACAGTGGCTGCCTGCCCCGCAGCCCCTTCCTCTGTGTGCGGCTGATAACCTCTGGAGAAGGGTCAGCGAGGGGGCTGGCACCAGGGCCAGGACGTGCCTGCTTCTGCATGCAAAGCCGAGCTGAACCCAGGGGCGGGGAGTGCTGTCCCAGGGTGCAGGCACAGCCAGGCAGCAGGGAGCGGGGCAGCGCTGTTGTGGCCTTGACCTCGGTGCAACGGCAGGGCACGGGGGCTCCAGGAGGGCCCAGAGGAGCTGTGTCCCGGGTGGTGGTGTGGAGCTGTTGTGCAAGCCTGACTCATGCCAGTGCCCGTCTGCTCCCATGAGCTTCCCCGCCGGGCACACGGGGCCCTGGCTCACGCGTGAGCTCAGTGCCGAGGCCCGGATCCTTGCAATTAGCTGGTGAGAGTGGGGCTCCAGCCAGCAGCTCCCCTTGCACTGCCAGCTCCAATGTGTGGGCGGGGCAGATAAGGCACTGGGAGCCTCCCAGCCGAAAGGGCAGCTGTGCACGGAGCTGCACGGCCCGGGGTTTTCCATGCAACTCTGCTCCCCCTTTGGGTGCTAGGGTTTCCCTCAGGAGTCAGGGAGGCCGTGGGAGACAGGCTGCAAATAGGGGCAAGCGCTGAGTGTGGGTCCCATAGGTGCACGGAGCCACCCAGGCATGCAGGAGGACGCCTGCCCACTACTCTTCCCCCAAGCTACAGCTGCCGCAGGGGCTGGACCCGGCCACACCCCCAGGCTGCAGCTGCGATTGCCGGCACGCTTGTACATGCTAGGCCTGTGCCCAACCCCAGCCCCACACCGCGCCCTCCATCGCAGCCTTGCCCCAGCTGGCTGCCAGTCCCCTGCTAGCCCAGCTCCGTCTGGCCTGAGGCAGGGGCTGCCCCGCTGCAGTCGCTTCCTTGTTCTCCGGCTGTTTGTTGGAAGCTTCCAGGAAGGCGACCGGCTCCTCCCTGAGCATCCCTCCAGGCCTGGCGCAGCCTCCCGGGGCCTCTGCTCCTGAGCTGGTTGGTGGCAGACCACTGCCGGGACACACCTGACCCCGGGGGTGTTGTGCTCACCCTGCTCGTTCCCCAGTGACTCGTTTTGGGAGGTCAGGCACCTACCTTGAGTCCGCTGGAGCCTGATGCCAGCCAGGCACCGGCCGTGAGTTGAGCTGAGCTGAGCTGGGGCTGCTGGCAGGACCAGCCCCACCCAGACACAGCCTTGGAGCAAGCAAGGGGGCAGCCGCGGGGCCCGGCTGGCTTGGCCCCAGAGTACAGGGTCTCTCCAGGTTCCCCCACCCTTGGGGGGGCAGTGCAGCTGGCATCCTGACTCCCACCCTGCAGGCCCTGCCACCGCCTCCCCATCTGGCCCTGGCTGAGTCACTGGATCTCTCTGATTTTGGGGGGCATGGGGGTTGAGCCCTAGCCCAGCCCAGCCCAGCCCAGCCCAGCCCCTCGGTGCTGCAGCCATGTGCCAGTGCTGCCCTTGGCTGTGGTGCCTGCACGGGGCAGGGGCCAGCAGGGATGTGCCCAGCGGAGACGGGCACTGCTTTGCACCTGAGCCTGGCATGGGGGTGGAGGGGGCACCCCAAATACCACCCCATCACCATTTGCAGGTGTCTGCCACCCACACTCTCCAAGCAACCCCCAACACATGCATACACACACCTGCAACCCTCCCAGACTCCCCCTACCCTGAAACACCCACCCCAAATACCTGCTAACAACCTCCCCCAACACACACACACAAGCATGTGCACACACACTATTGTGCCTGCTCCCCACCCCCGGAAACACCCCTGCACAAACACACACCTACATCTCTGCACACTGCCCCCCCAATACCCGCATGCCCATGTCCACAGCTGCCTGCCCTACCCTACCCCCAGCTCGGGGCCCACGTGGGCCTGGCCCTGTCCCCAGCTGGTGCCCGCAGCCCGGCTCCTGGGCCATGTTTGCAGGGTGCTGACGTGGCTCCACTCCGGGTCCTGTCCGGGGCCACATGGGGCTCAGCGATGTGCAGTGTGGCAGGCCTCTGGGACACACCGGCCTGCAGGACCAGCCTGTCCAGTGGGCGTGCAGGGTCTGTGTCACCACCCAGCAGCTCAGGACTGGCCTGCCACCCTCAGCACCTGCTGGACTGGGGTTCTGGGCAAGCTGGGACCCCCCCTAACCACACGTTCCCCCCTCACAGGCAGGCAGGCACCCAGCAGGGGCTCTCCCCCCCAGGGATCAGTGCCTGGGCTGTCCCTGGAGCTGCGCTGGGCCAGGGTGCAAGCCTTGGTACTCCCCGTGATGCTTGTGCGATGCAGGCTATGGGGGGGAAGCGGCCGCCCCTCGCTCCACTGAGATGAGCCCTGCTTTGATTTCTACCCCCCTCCAGGGCTGAGCCTAGGGCAGGGGCGCTGGGGATGCCTGAGCTGGAAGGGGCAGGGGCTGAGCCGCAGCTAGAGGCCCCCGTCGCTGGCCAGGCTGTAGCCCCCCCCCGCGCAGTCTCAGCCTGGATGCGGGC